CGGGACCCCCCACCCCACCCCCAGGGCACGAGGTCCCCCAGCCGCTCCGCTACCTGCAGCCACACTCGTCCACCACCATGTCCTCGTAGTGCCGCAGCACCACGTTGTCGCTGTTATCGTAGTAGAGGATGGAGATGGGCGAGAGCCTGACGGGGACGCAGCAGGGCTGGGGGGTCCCCTCGGGGTCCAGCGAGTGCACCATGGTCTGGAGGATGGCGTGGTTGGTGCTGTTCAGCTCCGCTGTCAGGGGGAAGGGGCACTCGCCCAGGCAGTAATTAGCCATGTAGCCCTGCGGGGCGATGATCCAGTTCTCCCAGCCAACGTCGCTGAAGCTGATGTAAAGCCGCCTGGGCTTGCAGAGGTTGCTCGGAGCGACCGGGGTGTAGTGAGCGCTTCTCCTCCTCCTGGAAACCTTGCAGTGCTGCTGGCTGAGGGTCACCACGAGGAGGGAGGTGTCCAGGAAGGAGTCGATGCCGGCGCAGAGACCCTGCAGCCCCCCGCTCGCCGGGGCTGACGCACCGCCGCTCACCGAGATCTCCAGGATCAAGCCCAGGTTCCTGCTGTACGTTCTCCACTCCTTGGCCACCTCGCTCAGGTTGAAGAGCAGAGACTTGTGCAGCTGGGCGAAGGACTGCTCCACCAGCGGCTTTCGGCCGTGCTCCTGGGAGGGCACCCCCCGCAGGGACAGCCGGGAGGTTTGGTACAGCCTCAGCTCAAAAACCTGCCCCTGGCTGGGGCTGTGGTAGGAGTTGCGGCTGAATTTGATCTCGAGCTGAGCCATGGTCAAGCGCTCGCCCTCCTCCAGCACGGAGAGGTTAAAGTACAGACGCTTCTGCAGACACAGCAACCCCCGGGGCTGCCTGGGATGGATGAAGCGGCCTGACAAAGGAGAAATAAGAGGTGATGGTGTTTACACCCAGCGGGATCGGCCTCCCAGTGCTCCAGTTTAAGCTCTTGGCTGCCCAAGAGGAAGACGGGGCTGGCAGAGGCGGCAGCCAGGCGTGCCTGCGGCTGCTGGGTGGAGACAACACGGCTATCAGCCCCACGGCACGGGCTTCGGAGAGCTGGCCTGGGCTCCAGCCTGCGGCACGGGATGCTACAGCCAGTCCAGCATCTCCTCCAGATGCCGCTTAACATCTGGTGCGGTGTCTTTCCCCAGCGGTAAATGTCATCTCCCCCCAGGACAGGGGGGTGGTTGTGGGTTCTGGCCATTTGGGATGGAGGGGGAAGGAGGGCCAACGGCAGCAAAC